AGAAGAACCTGCTACGCCCATGTCAGTGAGCGCGCTGCGTAAGCAACTTGAAAGCAAGGTAAAATCCTCGCCACCACCAATAGCACCAAAACCAAGGACGTCTATAATCAAGCCGACAACCGAGTCGAGAGACCCGCAGCCATCACCTTTTAAATCAACAGATAATTTATCTGATGATGAACAGGAATCTCCTTTCAGGCGTCCATCTGAAATCAAAAAACTTCAAAAGCTTCCCAACGACCAGTCTTCTGCAACTTCAGTGTCACGTGCTCCACCAGCCTTGCTTCCAAAACCATCGCTTCGTTCTGCACCACCACCGGTTGCACCGCGAAATGTCAAACCTTCTGTAAAAGAGGTTCGCGACACTCCGTCAAGTACGCCTCTGCGCAAGCTATCAGATGCGCCACCGCCACCGCCACCGCGACCGAAGGTTGGGAGCCAGACTCGGAGCGAATTTACTGGGAAACTTGAGAACGTGGAAAGTTCTGTTAAGAAGAACGTACAAGATGAAGCTGGTAATGCCGCTTCACGCCAAGTAGGGAAAATGTTCGGCGAAGGAAGAGGTATGCTGATATTTTGTATGGATGAAGGAGTTGTCTGCCGTACGAAGGAAATAATATAACATTGTCGCAATAGACTCGTGAAGTTTTGCTAGTTGTTCGTAACATATACTTAACATGGACCAAAGTGAATCTGTGTCTAAAAACATCAGGTTTAAAGTTCATCCGTGCAGGAAGTTTACATATGACAAGGCACTAATGTTCATACTAGATTTAATACTGATATACAATTCCCTCACATTATTCATCCTCGATATACGTTCCCTTGGGATTACGAACCCTCACAGGACAGCTGTCAAACTCCAAGTATTCCAAATACACGCGCCCTTATCAAGACAAAGTTCTCGATAAAGCGGAAACTGTAGCCAAAGATCAGGCACAAGTACAGTCCAGATCTTTAGCTAGCGATGCCTTTGACGACACTTTATCGTCTGTAAAATCCACGCAACCAACTTCCCGACCTGAAGTTCCATCACGTAAAAGTACGTTCAACAGAACATCTGTATTGGATAAGGTGAGCGCCAGGAGCGTTCCAAGTAGAAACCAGGAGAATACTCCACCACCGTTGCCGGATAGAAAAAACACCACAAGATCGGGAGGAGAAGGTTTGTCCAGAATTCCGCCGAGACCTCCGCAACATAATCCTTTTAATGGTGTGTTCGCGAATCTGGTGAACGATTTAGGACATTTTGGTTTTGTCGGTGAATGTTTTATTTTGATTATAACCATTTTTTACTATTAATCCAGAGAGTAATTTGTCTAAAGGTATTCCGAATGATGCTCGAGAACGGTATGAGATTGTGTTTGCAGCGAACATGGACGAAGATGGATATATTAACAGTGAGTTTATGGATCTATTTATCTTTCTGTATAAAAAAAATTTTTTTTGAATTCCGGTGTATTCAACGAATGAGATATTACTCGGTATAGGCGATGTGGTTAAAGAAATATACATGCGAAGTAGGCTCGATAAAAAAACTTTGTCTAAAATATGGTATGTCAACAATTCCAAGAGAATTTCGAACAATACGTTTATTTTATCTAACACATTTCCATTGCCGTTTTTTTAGGAGTCTCTGCGATAGAGATGAAGATGGTAGACTCAGTCAACACGAGTTTTGCGTAGGCATGTTCTTGATTGATGGACGACTACAAGGGAATCGAGTACCAGATACACTCCCTGATGAGCTTATCGAATGAACAGTCTAATGAATATTATAATGATAGTAATGTAGGCCTATTTATATCAAAATGTTGTTTCTGGCTGGTTGTACAATATCATTTGTAACGTAATAAAGTTGTTGGCTGAGCAAAAAGCATGTGTTAAGTGACTATACTCGCTGAGATTTTGAATTTGGACGGCTGTAAATATTAATGCCGCACGTAATCTATTGAATTAAAAATCTTGAAAACTTGAATTCTGTTTCTATCAAAGAAAATCACAACTTGTCAGAATATCGTCGAAAACTAGAATTTGATCCTAGTTCTAAATGTTAGGAAATGGAAAGTCACAACAAACTAGTAAATAGTCAGTTGTCAATGTATATTAATAATAAATAAGTTAATTTTATTAATTTTAACATTTTTTAATTTATGCCTGGGAAGCCGATGGTCATGATGCTCTCCTGTACGTAAACAGTTTGATTTCCTTCCCGATCTTACGAATTAATGCCTCCAAATTTATCTTCTTATCGCTTTTTGCCGCCCTTCCCGCCAGTGGATCAGTCAGATTTCGGAACTTCTTTTTCTCTTCACCCCAATTTTCGAATTGAACGTGGTTACCAAAGACATATATATATTGTGAATTGCTTTCTCTTATAGCATTGAGAATCCATCTACAATAGTATCTGGAATAAAATACCTCGGTCAATATTGGAATTAATGCAGAAAGTCGGGACAACTTATGTTGATGGCAACCAACATGCAAAGACATTACTTACACCAAAAATATTGCGCGCGACCTTACGATTGCTCGCCTACCAGTTATCTTAGCAGCGACATATACATCTCCAATGATAGCAATAAGGATATTCAACAGAACAATAACTAGAAGCAAACTTGAAACTATAACGAATAATTTAAGTGCATAAGAGTTCCAATCCAGACCATCCCATCTTCCATTAGTCCAGCCATAAGTTGAAATCACCGAATTCCAGAGGTTTGCAAAGTTATTGTCCGAGACAGTCTTTTCATCTAATATCTGGTACACAGTGTAATTTGTCTCGACGGGGCCATTGGGAGTTGTCAGATTTACACCGAATGAAAGAGAATCTGGTGTTAGGTTAACATCCGATGGATCATGCAAAAACACATACCTATTCGATATGAAATATAAAGTTAACCTTTAACTGGGTCTCGAAGTGAATGAAGATGCGGTTGTAAGAACTTACATGGTGTGTCCAATTGCAAACACAAGGAGAAACAATGATACAAAGAACAAGGAAATATGCTCGAATATGCTAATGATGATGTATACATAAGTACCAACACCTGAATCATGAATTAAAACTTTCATTAGTGTAACCGCACATGAATATCTGCATGCGAATATATGCCTTCCTTACCTTCATATGGTTTCAAAAGCATCAGCAATTTCAGCCATAGCATAAACGTGGCAGCAGCAGTGAGGATGTGTAATATTGTACTCCCAATGTAGTCTTCTTGAGTCTCCAAAAAAATAGTTAACACTATGGGAAATGTATATAAGATCAGGTTGTATAACATTTTGATCTTGTTATATACTGAAGTAAGCCATGGTATCGTAAGCAATTCAAGAATCACAAGACAAATTCCCAATGCGCCCGTTATATATGCTATTGCCCTTTGCTTATCCGTGTCGTTAAAATAGAAAACAAATGTGCCGAATGCTAGTAAAAAATATATATGAAGGAGCATGTATGCTTGATAATAAAAAGAGGCCACTGCCCATGTCGAATTAATAAGTCCGGCGATAGCTGGGTTATCAAAGATAATTTCGCTATACTCGTCATTGACAAACTGCTGAAGTAACTTGGCGACATTCTCATCGCATGGCATCGGAACACGACGCAAAACTTTTACGTATGTTTCAGGGCTCTTCTCCGGATCCCTATAAACCCATGTAAATTTGTCAACACTAAATGCGGGTGTGCAGAAATAAATCAACACATACACAAAATTCTCACCTCGTTCTGTATACAATATGCCAAATATGTAAAGCGAATTCCCACACGTATGACGGAATGACAATAAAGTAAAAAAGATTTCGAGAACTTATCATGTAACGTATCGTTTTCATGTCCGTCTTCAACTGGACATGTCTCATATTCTCGACTACTTTTTCCACTCTTAGCAATTTCAAGTTGTCCGTTAATTTTGGTAACGAACCAAAGATATTTGAGTACGTTCTTAAAGGAATCTCATGTTGGGATGTAGGTATTCCCATAAATGATGGATGAGCGAAAAATCTGTTTTTAGGAATATCTAAATCTGTTGCAACAGGACGAATTTAAGATTAGCAACCATCCGCACACTAAAATTCGTAGTAATATAACCGTACAAGTAACTACCCGAATCAAAACGTCGATATACAATTCATCACTTACGCTCTTTCCCAATTAGGCAATGTAAGGCTTTTCTTACTGTGCATATCCAACCAAAATGTTCGTTGGAAAAGTGGGCGTAATAGGTGAGGAAGTTGTCAGTCAGCTTAGCCTTCTCTTCGATAGTTATGATCAAGTCGCTCTTTTTCTTCGTTGGATTTCCGTCTTCATCAGTTTCCCATGTATACTCTCGTGGAAAGTGGAGTGGTATTTGCCAGTTTCGCATATATTTATTTCCTTCATCAACGCTGTGTTCACCTTCCGTAACATCACTTACTGCGACAAGCTCCTTTATCAGACGAGAACATCCTCCACAAAGTAAGCATTGCATCAACTCATAACGCACTTCGAGTAGACGCCATTCATTAGGATGTTTTCTAATGAATCTTCGAACAATATCAGTGAGTTGATGTTTCAGCTCATAATATTTAATGTAGTTGCCTTCTTTTTGCTTGGAATCTTTATCTACATATTCATATAGTGCCTGACATGCATCGATAACTACTTTACAAGGATCGAGCGGCCATCGAATCTCCAGATTATATTCAGAATTCTCGTCAGCTGTCTTTCTGAAACGGAATTTCTCACCATCGATAGCGATTCTGGGCTTGTTAGCGCTATAACCTGAAGTAAGATTCTCATACTCCTTTTTGTCTAAATTAGTCGTCTCTTCTTTAATATCATCTAGAACAGATATTCCTTCTTTCGTATCATCTAGAACAGATATTCTTTCTTTCATGTCATCCAAAACAGCTTCCTCTGTGTCACTTGAAGTGAATTTCTCGGTACCCTTTTTGGGTTTTACGTACATGTACAGTAATCGAGGTTTACCATTCTTGATTTTTTTCCATAGTTGTACACACGTCTTTTCAATAATAAATTGTTTTCTCTTGTCTTTATCTAACCATACACCAATTATGTCATCACCAGATTTCCATGGCCACATTTTATCCACAATCAATCGCCCTGACGACTTTTTCAGCGATTTTGTACTTTCCTCCAATTCGTACACTTTTGGACATTCTAATTCTATTTCATTACTAGTGTCTAATGACTCTTCCTCTGAATCAAGAATTATATGTTCAAGAAATGATCTTAATTCTCCGTCGTCAGAAACATATATTGGCGTATTACCAGCACAAGCGGTAGAATAAAGAATATTAGAGGGGTTTTGGAAAAAGTTATTTAGCTCGTTAATTTTTACATTCCTGACAGGTCTGCATGTAAACAGTTCCCATATAGTGGCCTCCACGTCATGTGTATCTCTATCTTCTTTCAAAATTAACAGCCATTCGTCATCATTAATGAATTCTATCAGCGTTACTCTCTGAGTTTCCATTAGGTGCTTTTTTCCACATTCCAAACTATTCTCCAGCAGATATATGGCAACCGATGTATTATCAAGACAAGCCGCTAATAAGGCACGATTATTTGATATTGCGTATATCGGTGTTTCAAGTCCAACCAGACTCGGGTTCTTGTGATTAGAGAATTCTAAGATGTGTTTTCCGTCCTTTAAATCGTATGCGTGAACCGTATCTTTTGCCCCAGTCTCAAAATATAAATGTGACTTTATATTCCTTGCGAGCAATTGAAAATGTTGCTCGTCAGTTCGTAATAGATAATGCCCCCCCCGTTTTTTTGATTGATTTTCTGCTACGTTTATATGCGCGAGGGATGCTATCCACGGAGGATTTGGCAAAATCATCAACCTTATTTGGATTGATCTTGTGCTGAAATAATCCTTCTTCGTTCAACACTGTAAGCAGCCACTTATACTTAGAATTGGGAAGCGGAGTAAAATTGACAATTCCGGCTACATAGTCTACTGAAGTTGCTATTCGTCTTGCATTTTTTGTGGAGCTCGTTTTCTGTTCAACAGTATTCTTTGAATCACCTATAATAAACACACGAGTAGAAGAATAATCTGGCGAATTCCTCTCACTATCTTCACCTCCATCCTCTTTAAGTAGAAATTTTTCTTGCTCATTCTTATCAGTCTGTTTATCCGTAACATAGAAAGATAGTGCAACTATAGTGAGTCCATCTTCATTTATTGCATTAGATATAGCAATACTCCATCGTGCTAGACGTTCAGCAGTAGATATATAATCACTTTTGACATTGTAACTGAAGCCTGTTGGTTCGAATTGAGGCCTTCCGATACGTCGAGAATAAGAGACTTTAAAGGTTTCTAGAGTTTGGGTGACTGAGTGAAGGTATTAAAGAGGCATTTAATAATTGATGATATGAATATTGGGGTTAGTATATAAGAGATAAGAGCTATCTTCTGACAAGTTCGATGCTGAGCAGAATTAAGCGCTTTTGTCAACACACTCAATTATGTATATCCACCTGTATTAAATTTGACGACCTCCCGTCCGTCGTCGCTTATTGCAATATAAAATTTCTTTTTGCTATCACCATCTTCTTGACTTGAATAGCTTCTAAATTTCCGGTCCATCTCGGAGCTTGCTCTTTAACGCAAGTATGAATCGATAACGGTGTGGATTGCATGTCAACGGGAATTGAGTTCTTTGTCTTTGTCACACAACAGTCATCTAGTATTTATAAAGTCATTACAATCACCATATCGTCGGTAAATCCCTTTCAAAATCATGTGACAATTCGTCAATTTGGCATTAGTTTTGGCCATATGGTGTTTATAATATATGTCATGCACCGTATCTGATTAGTTATTATATTGCCTCTAACTGAAACATGACATCAGGAAAAATTATCTGTTATTATTAATTACAAGACCACAACCAAAAATTAGCATAAACACTTCAATTTTTTTCCAATTACGTAAAAGCGAATTCAATATAGTACGCCCCTTGGGAATGAGCCTGAGCGTGCATATATGGAGGGTGTGCATATATGAGGGACAGCATTCTATTGGTTGCACGTGACATACGTTTTATTTATTTATGATAATAACGATAACGATAATAAAAGGCAAAATTAAAATACCCGTTTCTATTGTTGACTAAAAAAATTGTCTATGATTGTTTGTTTCTTTGCATTTATTAGCTTTAAACTAATCAAGAGCATTAACATGTTTAAGTAACTCCTTAGAATCTTCTTGCTGCTGCAAAAAGGAACGAACTAATTCTAAACTCTTTATAACATCATTGGCATTGACTATTGCCGGTTCAGTACTGTCATAAATTTCATCAATTTGAACATCTGATGATTTTTTATACAAGTCAATAAGTCTAACAAAGATGTTAGAATGTGTTTATTTCTTTCACAAACGATTACAAAATTCTTTATCTATTATTCATTCTTTATTTACTTGTTGATATTAAACGAAAGAATGATAAAGACCATCTTTCAAATAGAACAAAGGTGTAACCAATAAGACAATGCAATTTGTAAGTACACAGTGACATTCACTTTAACGAACTCTCACTTTAACGAAGATGGCTTATAACGAAGTATTTTTCTGGAACCGGT